AAGGTCAGTAGATTTGGTGATTTGATAATCTTTTGCTGGGGGTGAAAACACTACCTGGATGGCTGAAAGAACTAAAAAGACAGTAGTATTGAAACATCAGGGAAATGGGCTCAGAAGCTCCCTCCAGTGTTTGACTCCAATAAATAAAATATATGCACAACAGACTCAGCAGCAGAAACACCAGCAAAGGATTTCTTGCTTAATCAGTTGAAAAATCCACACAGGTCTTTTTCATTCAACCAAGAACAACAACAATGAGCAGTGGGAGAAGCAGTTGTGCTGCAGCTGGTAGACATTATTATTCATGCTCAGATGCACTGAAAAAAGAAGCACTGTACATCTACTGCATGAGACTGAGACTGTGATATAGATGTTAATAGTGCACATCAAATCTGGACATAAATCATAACCTTTATGTAGATTTACCAGTGAACTCACATTGCCCAGCATCTTTAAAATCAGATGACATCAACATGTGATGCTTGAATGTGTCTAGGGTTTACTAAAATTGCAATGAAAGCTTGTTAAATTATTTCAAACTTGCTGGGGTAAGACTGTGAAAATACTTCTCCTGGATTGTGTGTATGCTTCCCTGGTGTGCAAGGCCATCAGAGATGTCACTAGGGGGCATTGTTATACCACAGGAGGAGAGACCTGCCACCAAAAAAAATTATACATACATTACTATGGCAACTAGATTGTCTCCTTCCTCTGTCAAACATATTTTACATGTTTTTCTGTGTAGCTCAAAAAATACAGGGCAGAGGTCAATGTGAACTACCTTTGGGACTGTATATATTGATAAAAAAAATTATTTCTATGACATGCCAGGCTTAACACTTGAATAAAGAGTTGTCACTTTTGGCAAAACACTGTTTTTCTGTAGAGTTACTTCTTTTTATATGTACTGCGACTCGAACGTGTAGGGGAATCTATAGATCTCACTTATAGGCAGTGAAGTGCTTTGGGCTGGAGAGAAACACAACTTGAGGTCAAGATTACAGGTCAGTGCAGCACAATGGCCTTATAATGGGTGAAAATGTGTGATCTTCAAGCTGTTCTCTGGTGTCTCTCTCTATAGAGGGTAATGTCAAGGTTCAGGACACAGTGTTTGCTGCCAGTTCGAGTGGTAATTGGAATGTAAGCTTCTTCTCTATAGCCTTACAATTAAGTTTGGACCCTGTGGGAGCGGAGCATGGCATGGTGAACTTCAGAGTGAAAAGCTTCATCTATGGTCTAAATGTGTTGATGGGAGTAAACTTGTTCGTGTTCGACTGCATCAAGGTTTTTATAAGATTGAATTGCAAACATTTCTTTGGATTAACTGATCTAAAATTGAAGCACTTGTTTTGTGGCAGTTATGCTGTACAAAAAGTACCAGTAGATTGAAGAGCCTCGCCTCAAGAGCGTTTTTAAAAGCCTAACATTAACCTTGAATGCTGATGTATGCCTGGAAATTGCTATCTCAAATTTATAGTCCAACTAAGAGCACTTGTCAACAAAAGTCTATTTTTATACTTTGGTTTACAGGAGAGGCAGCGCATCCTTGACTGTGTGATTTACATCCTTTGATTACAAAGTCAGTGTCAACTAAAACATACTGTGCATGGAATGAAGTGCTCGATCTGTGTTGTCGGGATGTCCATGAGAAAATAAGGTAAATGTACTGTGTGTGATGATTAAAGTGAAGCTGAATAATCAGGGGCACACCATGGATAAATGTCACTGAATTACTTTGCTTTTTAATAGATATACTTTACTGCAGGAGTGCAGGAGTAAATGTAGATTTAAATTTGCTTATATATGATGCCATTGCTAACAGCATTCCTAAGATCTTTACATATTTTACTGTATGGCAAGAAGAAAATAATGATAGTAAAGTAGAGAAAATAAATACATAATAGTAACAATATATAGAAATAAAAATGCAGTAGGCTGGTCTGACACAAACATAAATACATATACAGCATTTATACACATACACACGCATATACAGTACAGACATACATATCTCTATATACCTACACGCACACACAAAGAAAAAAAGACTCTTTAAACTCTTCAGAGCTGTATCCTTCATAGTTGTTTAATTGTGGTCATCATATTTAATCCATTTATTTCACCATTTCAAAAAAATTTGTTCTTGATTTCGGATTCTACAGGTTATCCTTTCCATTTCTGAAACTTTTTTTTACATTTGATTTCCAGTTATCAGTTCAATTAGTTAGATTTGAGGTCTTGAATTTGTCTCACCACAGAGCTGTGTACTCGGTCTGCTTTATAATGCCACCCTTTTACAAAAGGTTTTATGCCGCATCAGTCAGGTTTAGGGGGATTTAGTGGCACCTACTGGTGAAGACTGCAGATTGCAACCAGCTGAAACTTCTCCCTGTTAGAATTCCTTCAGTGTTCATTGTTCATCGGAAGGTTTTTTGCCAGGAGCTGAATTATCCACAGAGATCTCCTCCTCTCCTAAACAAACTGACACAGTGACTTAAACTGGTAAAAACACTGAATAAAGCAGTAGCATGTTAAAAAAAATGGTTTTCCATGCTGCTCATTGAGGGGCTGCTAACTACGGTGGCTGGCGTTAAAATGCAAAAGGCCCTATCTAGAGCCAGTGTTTGGTTTGTCTGTTCTGGGCTACTGTAGAAATATGATGGTGAAACAAAGCAGACCTCATGTAGATATAAACAGCTCATTCTAAGGTAAAGGAAAACACAATTATTATTTTCAGGTGATTAAACAGTAAAAAAAAAAAAAGAACATACTTATATAATATTCATTTTCTGTCAGTATATCTTCCTAAATCCTACACACTGGAGCTTTAACTTGTGTTAATAAGATTAGAAATTCTTATTTTAGTGCTCTCTGGGTGTCAAAACTTCCTAATCTTCCTATACAGCGTGCCAGGGCTGACGTCAAAACCCGGAAGTTTAGCATCGCGCTGGTTCCCGGAAGAGAAAGTGAATGTGATTTTTGCATTGCGTTTTGGATTATGTCAGAAAATAAGCTCCGTGGCTAACACAAGTTTATGATACTTAGAGGTTTTGTTCAGCGAGATAATCTTCACATATGAACACCTTTCATACCACATTTGAAGCTTAAATGCGATCGCCAGAAGTAAAAAGCTAACTTTAGGCTTTAACGGACTACATGACTACTCCAAGGTCGCATGACTCTTGACATCACCGCCACTAAGCTTTCAACTGATTTCGGCCACTTTATTTTAAAAACATTGTATAATGGGGAAATCGGACTGTTTAAGCTAAATAAGAAGCTGTAACGGCGGACTGCCAGCACTCTCGCCTGTTCGGGGGTGATGACATTTAATGTCCCCGACAGGGTTTGTAGTCGTATTGAGCAACTTGTTAGCAACCGCCTTTTTTACTACACGTAAAATCTTCATAATTCACAAGTAGTGTATTTACTGACGTGTTTTATGTCATAGAACAAAATCTGAAACTCGCTTAAGCTTTTCTTAACCACAGACCTTATTTGAGGCATTTTACCAAAATCCCATTCAAAAAACGTATTGACTTTTAGACGAGAGAACTGGAAGTGCTAAAGGCGCTAACAGAGTTCTGGGTTTACTGGCACACTCTATTATATTCAATAAATGCCAGAGATAGGCGTGCAATAAATAACTACTTTCATTAGCGATTGATTGGACAATAATTTTTAAATGAATCAATTAATTATCTACAAAATGTCAGAAAATAGTGGGGGAAACAGCAATTTTCTAAAGCCCTAATATATTTCAGCTGCTTGTGCTGTCTAACAAAAACTCCTAAAGTTATTCAGTTTCCTACCATAGAAGAGATAATTCAGTGAATTCTCATATTTGAGGCGGCAGTAGCTCAGTTCATAGGGTCCAAAGGGTCACTGATTCAAGTCCCCGTCCTAGCCAAGAATGGAGTGTGGACTGGTAGCTGGAGAGGTGGCAATTCACTTCCTGGACTCTGCTGAGGTTCCCTTAAGCAAGGCACTGAAGCCCCAATTGCTCAGGGTGCATGGGCAGCCCCCTGCTCTGACACCTCTCCATACAATGCATGTATATGTCCTGTTTGTGCATGTGTATGTTTTCAGTATATCTTCTTCTTCTATTTCTTCTTCTTACCTTTACAAAAAAGAATGAAATGATTTATCAATTCTTATTATTAATTCACTATTTGTTTCATCACTACTCTTATACTGAAATCCCCTCGTCATCTGGAGGCTGGTCTCAGCTTACCCTGCTGATGTGCTCAGATGGATTTGTATCATTAATTTAAAATTTTCTTGACTTAATAGCCAAGAGCATCTGAACACGGTGCCTTATTATGTCAGCTACATGTGTAATTACTGTCAAGAATGCTCTTTCTCCACATACCTGCACTTCACATGCCTTCAGACAGGTGAAGAAGCACTTCAGATGACAGAACATTTCAATTCTAGGACAGTAAAACACACAATACATTTCTCTTTCTTACAGTATAGTCTTAATTGTTTGTGTTGACTCACTGAGCTGAAGTGAACTCAGATGGGTGTGTCAGTCTGTACAAACACTGGCAGAGTTTCAGGTATTTTCTCTCACTCTTTAAGTGCCCATGTGAGTTATCCTATTGTACAGTATTACTTGTGCATTAAATTATACTTAGCTGTAACACCTTTACATGTGGGCAGGCAAATTACAGTGGAAGATGAGAGAGGGAAAGCCCACTCAGCAGACATCTATCCTCCTTTGTTATCACGTGCATGAATGAGCAGTGAGTGACCTTTGAAATCACGAATAGCAGATGTTGCAGACATTAATAAGGAGGCTCAGCTGTGCTTCTTTTATATGAGCAGCAGCACTGTGCGCAGTTATTGTGAATAGAGGGGGAAAGTGATGACGCCGCTCTCGCGCCTTCCCCTTGATTGACACTCCGCACGCGCGCGCACGTACACGCGCAGTGAAATATTTCCCCGTGTTTTGTATACGCACATATTTGACTCAAAGCCTATGGGTGCCAGCCGGTTATAGTGCATGACAGCAGCCATTCCAGGCGCACCGTCTTCAGAGTCACTGCTTGTCCTTTGACCTCTGTCGCTTCCAAAATAGAGAGACGACCTTGTGGAGACTTGAGTCATAGTTGCAGTTGTTGACTGCGCACTTTTGGCCGTCAGTCAAAGAGTCTCTCACGTTGGGCGACTGAGGGTTAAAAACTACCTCATTAACTTGTTGCAGAGTGTTCCTCCTGCAGGAGTTGTGAGGACTGAAAGTTACCATCACTTTATTTTGGACACGACGAGCGTCTCCTGAGGGGACTGAAGAGGAAACCTCCATAGGTGGAAAAGGACCGTTGTCATCACCCCAGCTGCTCGTCTTATGGGTAAGCTGCACAACTAAATGAACTTCTAGACAATGTTGCTTTATTCAGGTTTGAGACAGAAAAGCTATTCAGCACAGACACAGAGGTAGATGGTGAGCAACTGGGATGCCAGCATACAGTCAGAACGTGTAAAGCCAGCACACTCCATCAAACCATCACTGCAAGCTGAAAGTTTATCAGTTGAAATCAGGAGCAGGTAAAGCCTTTGCTGTGGGCTGTGTGATCCCTGTGAAGCTCAGAGACAAAACAACCAGCACTCAATCTGTGCCCATGCAGGTTATTGGACAGTTGTACAGTGGATTAAATATAAAAAAAGAGTGAAGCAGAAAGTCTGAAAGTACTGACTTTGTCTCGTCTGTGCTGGAAATGCAGTACTTCTTCACTACTCTATAAGCTTCTCCCTCCCTCTGGATATCAGGCATGTTTATGTGCACAGTTATTCAAGGGGTTTTTTCACCCTGACTGTACCTGCAACTGTGCCAGAAACATACTCCCATTACATTAATAATGAAGATGTTATCAATAATATAGCAAAACATATATACAGCAATATACAGATTTTGATACCTAAAGTTGCACATCTGCAGCTGTATGCTACCCTGTGTGGATGCGAAAGGATTGCTGTCATACTTGTAAAGCATAGTCAGGTAAAACCGTTAATAATACATGAACAAATAGAACGCCACAGTATTTTCTTATATGATCTAATCTGAAGTTTTGCTTATGGCTAACATTACATTATTTATTGGACAGGGTGTCTACAGGTCCATAAAAAGTCTTAAATAAAGGTGTTTTTTTAAACATAAGGCCTTAAAAAGTCTTAAATTGTCTTAAATTCATGACTGTTTACAATCATTGGACAGACCAAGGAATTGCAATAATAAAAAGCATTTATGACAGCGATGAGATTTTGTTTTCTTTTTACATTAAGCACATTAAACCTAAAGTCACCCAATTGTCATTTTTCCTTACTGTTTATTTTGAAATGACATCAGTGTGTTCACCGGGAAAGACTATTTACACACAGATATATGTCATGTGTATTCCATTGCAGGTTTGGTCTTATGTTTCGTATAGGGTGGTATTAAAAAGGTCTTAAAAAGTCCTAAATTTAACTTGGTTATATCTGTAGACACCCTGTTGGAAATCAATTCGTCTTCACTGCTCTAAAACCGTAGATGCCAGTTGATACACAGCGCAATTTGCTGTGTAGGGTACTGTTTTAGAGCAGCGAAGAAGAACAGATTTTTGAGAAAATTGCCATTTTATTTTGATTTGAAACTACTTTAATATTCATTAGCAAATTCCATGATGGGTGCATAGTAGTTGCTGATACCTGATAAATTCAGAGGCATTTCCAATACTGGTATCAGTATGCACAACAACTCTAATTAATATGTAACATCATATTGCAGCACTGTCTTATAATAATTTGTGATCTCTTTAGTGTGCTTTATGTTTACCTTTATTTCTGCAACCACCATAATGTAGCTATTCCTGCTGCTCCCTAACCAAAATGAACTTCAAAGTTAATTCACGTTTTCACTTTTTCATTATTGGATTTTGTGGCATATGGTTTGTCAAGGGAAATGAAAGTGAGGAACATACAGAGTTTGTATCACACTCTTGCAGGCCATGCTGATTGCAATTGAGATGTTCTGTCTTTTCCCTATCCCTCCTGCTGGGCAACATTTATCACTACATTTCCTACAGCAGATTTAATTAAAGTGTTAATTAGAGTTGGGGATTTTCATTGGCAGTGTTTCGGAGTTTTGTGATTGTTAGAGATTTACATTAATGTGGGTGATACTGCTTTACAGTCATGTTAAACCCACTCGCTCGCTCGCTTTCTACCTCTTTTAAAAGTCAGACTGCCTAACATGAATGCAAATAGCTCACAGTGAGATCAGCTCTCTCTGAGTCTGTCCCTCTGTCTGGCCACTCAGAAAGTGAAGAGGAGAGGTGACGGGTGAGTTGCCCAGAGCTTTGGCGACGCTCATCCCTGTGAAGTTGGCCCATTCACTCCTGTGCAGCTTTGTCATAGCGAAATGGGTCGAGTCTCTCTCTCTTTGTGTGACCCAACTTGACTGAAATGCGGTAATTGGGGACTCCTGGGATCCTCGCTCCCTGTGGTGATGCTCAGGCCAAGCTTTCAATAAATCTGTTGTACAGTACAACATGGTGTTACATGAGAAACAGGTCAGCTTTTAATTTAAAGTTTGAAAAACTTCCAGTTGTTCGTTCAGCCGTGGTGTCATCTCGCTCAGATTCTACCCCCTTCACATGTACAGGGTCATGTGGTCTTAAATGACCCTGGCTCAGTCAGCTGTCCGTTGGCCATGTGGTAACACAAACAAGACATTTCCACAGGTCTAAGACGTCATAAGAGAATGCCTTTAAAACCTATTGAAGAATTCCCATAAGCCTCAGCTGCACTTTGAGATAAATGCTAAACTGTACATATGATAACAGTCTATGGCATCAATTGTTGATTAATTGATTGACAGGAAAGTAATAGGCAACAACCTTAATCGATAATTTATCATTTCAGTTCAATCTTCTTAAATGTGAATCATAGTAAAAGGAATATCTTTGTGTTCTGGGCGTGCTGGTTGAATAAAACAAGATATTTGAAGTATCTTTCCTGCAGGTAATCAGTTGATTAGTTAATCATGATAATGATCAATGTAGCCCTCAAAGCAATCACAATTTTTGTCCGTAAAAGGTCAGAAAACTTTGGTGGCCGACAAGGAACACATGACACTGGCCCAAAACATTTTTATTCAGAGAAATGTGCTGCAGCTTTAGAAACAATGTCAACACAAAAACACATATGAAAATCCAAAAGAAATAGAACAATGGAAACGTGCTGCAAAAAGCCAATTGTCAACACAACACACCTTCAGGGGGAATCCTGGGATCCTTGCTCCCCCAGGCCTCTAGGGGGAGCGCTAAGCGGAAGAGCCTGATTTCTTAATCTGAGACAAAGAGGCCAGTCGAGAGAGTGTGTTCAGAGACCACTGATAAACCATGTAATATATCTGACATGTTGGTTTTGCCACTGCCCCGCCGCCTTAGGGGACTAGCAGCAGTCCTGAGTCCATTCATCCCAATGCGAAAAGCAAACATAAGTACAGATTATGGCCGTTTCCTTTTCCCCATAGTGACTGATGTAAATATCGTACCCATTTTTCAAAAGCCCCAGCCCTTCCAAACATTCTGACACTAAAATATCTTCTTTTTTTTTTTTTTGACAGAAAATCAGGACAAAACTAATTGTGTTCGAGATGCGTCTCTGTTTTAGCAACACACTCTTGTGAGATTTGGTAACCACTGAAGTGATCTTACGCTGGGTTGATATCAGACATTAAGCTAGCAGATAAAAACGAGCTGTAAAATAAAGAGCAAATATCAAACTTGTATTGTATGTAGTGTTGTATTGTTTTGGATTTGATGTCATCTATCCACACGAAGTTTACTTCACTTCCAAACAAGGTGAGGGGATGCCAGGGAGAGATGATCACGCCCACTTAGGTGTCTGGAAGTCTATACCATTGCGTACCACTGGCGCAGTTTGTAATGTGTTATCTTTTTAGAGTACCTTTGGTGCATTTGTTTTTGAAGCAGGAAGAAAAGTTGAGTTAAGAGGCGACATAAGAAGGCAGGTATTCTCGTTTTACATTTGGCATTAGTGTTTTACAATATTGTAAAAGAGAAACAGATTTGTATAGACATCGCTAGCTAAGTAAATCCACTTACTCCATTTTTCTTCCTGCCTCAAAAACCTAAACTGTCTCGTCTGCTCTCCCTCTCTTGGGTTGATAAATCAAGCTGTCCCACTTAGTGCTGCCCCTAAAGGCCTGGAGGACTTATGTTGCATCAACTGGATATGCAGTGTTCCTTTATTTGCATGTTTGCTGTAAAAGTGTTGATCATTGCAGCTCTGCTTGGATCCATCTGTTCACTTAAACACACTGACACGTCTGGCTCTGCTTTCTTCAGTTTAAAGATTTCAATATTCTTCTTCTCTAAGAAATACTGTATTGTGCACATTGTTTTGACTAAAGCGTTCTATACAAATACGAATTGAACCTTCCAAATCCATGGCTCACCGACATTTTCTGGTTTATTACAGGCAGAGAAAGGATGATAAATTCTAAATGTCAGATGGTGAGTGGTTTGTCTGAGTGCACTTCTTAGGAAGCAAGCAATTGAATGCAAACTGACAAGGGATTCACGCTGAAAATGTCATAATGCTTTGACACCGTGAAATGGAAATCAAAACTTTCCAAGGCAAATGGCTCCCTGGTGGCAACAATGAGAGAACATGAATGTAAAAGTGTTTTTCAGTAAATCACTTCTTGCTGTTTTTTCAGAGGTTGTACACACCGTCACCCTGGGACAGGTATGTCCAGCATGTGTTGCCACATGCCAGGCATGTTGTCTCCACCTCCCTACTTTGGCTCTCAGAGAAAAAGAGAGATAATAGCCTCTCAGCAACCTCTGTAATTGCATAATTGGAGCCTGTCGGAGGAGTTTTACTCTATTGACTATATTGCAGTTCTAGGGAAAACACTGGCATTACAGAAGTCATAAACAAACACTCCCAGAACTTGAAACTTTGTGAAATAAATACTATACTATTAATATGTGATTATGAAATGTTGTATGTAGCATATGTATGCAGCATTTTGTTGTTGTATAAGGCATTGAATGAGTTTGAAATGCAGCCAAATGTGTCGTGACAGAATAGAGTATATTTAGCTGCTGTCAGCATCTGAGCAGCTCATTGTTATCCATCAGGAGCAGCTAGTGCAGTATAAGAGCATTACCAGGCAGGGGGTGAGTTTCTCAGCCACTTAATCAGGGACGCTCTGGGAAGAGTAAAACTCCATGCCAGTCACATATGTAGTCGACAACAATGTGCTGTCAACATGCAGCCACTGCATGAAGGAATATAACCTAATAATCTAATTTAGTTGTCAGATAAGACCGTCTCG